TTTGTATTAGACCCGTCGTCCATTTATTTGTAAGTCAATGGATAAGACCAATCGCTGTAAATAATATTTCGTCAACCATACTTAGTTCTATTTCATAATACTTAAAACTTATTTACACCGTTCGTAAAAAAGCTTTGATGGTTTAATTGTTTGTCCTACCGCCTTTCAAGCAGAAATCGTGGGTTTGAATCCGGGCGCGCACCTCTGAGTTTTTCGGAATTTATTTGCGAAAATAAAATTAAAAAATATTAAGTCTTAATACATATCATCGAGTATAAATCCAGAAATAGAGACGAAATAAGGGCCATCCATTCCTGGCAACTCATCATCAGGCAAGTGGGCCACTCATCACTTTTAAACATCAACTGTCGTTTGCAATAAAATCACAAATTAGAAAACTGAAATAGTACAGCGCCAACAACTGACCTGTGTGTACGTCGTATATTCCAAAAATATTCTGTGTTTATTGTAATAAATGTAATATCTCTAACTATGGTGGACTATTTCATTCGATGAGGGAAAAACAACAAAACATGTAATTACAAAACAAACGGAATCACAAACCATCTGTAATTAAATATGTAATTTTTCAATTTTCGTGCATTATAGCAAAGCTCAAGTTACACTGGTCGATTTGAAGTGAAACAATTGACGACACCCGTCAATTGTTTCGAATTCGAGCTGGCCAATCGGAATGCAGTTGTCACCGTAATGATTTGGCAGAATAGTTTTCATTCAAATTAAATTACATATCTTCTCTATTTCTGGTCATATACTCGATGATACATATTTACTCCACACGTCGAATGTTTGACTCACAATACGTACATACGCTTTAAATTTCTGTTTTATTTTACTACAAAATGTAATAACTATAGTATTATAACTAACCGGCGCCTCTACCACGAGTTTACAGTGACAGTTGTCGCTAGCGACAGCGAAAATTGCTTCACAATTTTGTGTGGCAAATTGTGCAGGACCATTGGCGGTCACAAGATTATGTAACATTATGTATACAAATATCTTACGCGGTCACTAGCGACAACTCGTTGAAATCTCATGGTAGAGTCACTGAGCCTAACAGAGCAAAGCGAGCGAAGCGAGCGTGTCTCGACGGCGGCCGGTGTGTGCCAGAAATTAAACGAACGTTATGTAAAAAAAATTTAATATGATACTTTACACACCCAAAAATAACTATAAAAAATTAAAAAATCTTTTTAACCAAAACATTTGTAAAGACAGGGTTTTCATTCTTCCCTTAATTATATATGGAATATTAAATATATACATTACACAAAATACTAATATTTTTTTTTTCTTTCAGTATAATTATATATTTTATATTATTCAATATAATTGTATATTATATATAGGCAATGAAACTATTTTTCCGGATTTAAATCGCGTATATTTGTTTTTTCAAACAATCCGACGTTTCGGGCCCTTTACAGGTCCCATAGTCACGGCGATTTAAATCCGGAAAAATAGTTTCATTTCCTATGTGTAACAATCGCGAAAACCTAAGAACTCTATATATATTATATATTATACACGCCGATTTTTACCAAAATGGTGTACGTTTTGCGCCAAAAAATAGTGTGTGTGTAGCGTGTTTTACAATACTCGGCGGACACACGGCGGCACTTAGCACTACACTTCACTACTACACTTGCGATTCATAGGCGATTGCATTGATGCAAACGCGCATGTGCAAGTGATGCCATCACAAAGGTAGACGATTACTGCATAACCACTGCATCGCGTTTGCATCGCCATTTTGTGCATCAATATTTTGCAACACGCCTTTTTCTCTTTCTCAGCTTCACAACCGCTGCGTGGGCAGCGCTGGCGGCGCCTGCAACCTCGGCCGACATGCAAAACACATCCTTCCTCCAACAGCCATAAGACCTCTCGTTTTGGACCGACAGAGGTCACTGCCACATCGGTCACAGCCTGATCAGGTAGCAAAAAATATCGCTATGAAACATCATTGACTAGACAACACAGAATTTTTATAAAGAACTGCAGAAGAAAGATGTCTGGGTATTACGACAGAACAGTTTTCATCGAAGTATTATGGAATGGAAGGTGGAAGAAAAGAGAAACAAGGGAAGACATAGACGAAGTTATGTAGATCGGATATGGGAAGCACTTAAAGTCCTATCGTATCAGGAACTCAAAGACGTCCTTAATTTGGTCATAGCAAGGTCACCTTACTAGGCTTTTACTAATTTGCCCGCTCATGCTCGCCTTATTTCTTCAATCTTTTTTATTTATCCTCTGCATGTTCGAACCTCCGAAGCATCTCTTTCTCTTTCTTTGTCACTACATCTACCTCGATGCCGTAAAGTTTTCTTATCACACTATTTCGGAATTTGTCCATGAGAGTCACTCCAGCTATACTTTTTTCCCACTGCTTCAGAAGATTCTGGTTAAAATATTTCAATTCAATTTCCAGGCCCCAATATCAGTGTCCATATCGATGCCTGTGTCCATAGCAGCAGCGGCCGCTGAAGAAAAGAAAGAAGAACCTCGCAAAGAACATCGAGCGCCTCCCATTTCCTTTCAAATAACCCCACCAGAAGGCACTTGTCCGCTACTGGTGTTCATTAATCCCAAATCTGGGGGACGACAGGGGGCCCGAGTGTTGAGGAAGCTGCAGTACATTCTGAATCCACGACAGGTTCATGATATTACTAAGGGAGGACCTAGTCAAGGTATGTTCCGTCTATTTAAAATAACAAACTTAAATTTTAATTAAAAAAACCCCTGATACCAAAAAATGTGGTCCATAAAATCAATAAAGGCACTAACCGTAATGTAATAATCCGTCGAAACCAAGTTAGAGATCTGAGACTTAAAATTGATAAGTCCCATATTCCCAAATGCATGTAATTGGAAAAGAAGAAAAGAAGATTTTAGTAGCAGGAGAGCTAGAGTCATGTGAGCATTACTGCGTTCCGGTTTGGAAGGGTTAGGGTGCTGGTGAAATCATAGGCACATGGGACTTGTCACCAGCAAAAAAATCACCAGCGCCTTTATCACCCGTACTCTTTAAAACCGGAACGCAACAATGCTCACATTAGAAATACCAAGCAGTAGCTTGGAGGCAGAAGTAGGTAAGGTGGTACTACTTCACTGGACGAGCTCTTTAACAATAGTAGCTAGCTCTTCTGCTACTAAAATAATGCTTTTTATCCGCTCACGCGATGCGCTCCTCCTACCGCAAAATGGTGGCTATTTTTTTTCGCAAATTAGAAAAGCATTCAGTTTAAATACAAGTTTTTATAAATAAAAATTATTATTCTGCATTGCTAAATAAATACCCTCCATACTACAACAAAAACATCTCAAATAAAATGCAGTAATACACCGCAAATCCTGCACTTAAAAAGCACTAATGAAATTTTTGGTGTACTTGGATAAATACGATAGTATTCCGTTTGAGTGGTTCTAACGTTTACCATGATATTACTCCTTAAAGTATAGTTTATAAACATTTATATTCAGGGTAAACTTAAAAAACGCTACTTACGGTATGTTTTCAATAAATAAACACCGAAATCACCAGCCCAAACAATAACACACAAGATTGTCGTGACGTATTTTTGAAGTTGTTTATTTTTTTTAAATGACAGACCCGGGCATTAAAAACTTTATGGTTTGCTAGAGTAGTTACCGAAATAGCAATTCATATTAGTTCTTTTACCTGTTATAACTCGGTATAAAATCATCACCGGCACCTCTAGGTGTGGTATGCGTCTACGGCTGCATGTATCGCGTGAGCGGATATTCGTATAATTTTTACTAACATCCTGTATGATATTCTTCTTAACCATCACTGGCTACGCATTATCGACTTTGAGATTATATTTCTGAGTGTTGTGTATCGTTGTAATTGAAAATTAATTGTATGAATGTTACTATTTAGCTAAAAATGTTTGCAAGGAAATAACCAATTACAAATAATAGTTTATGTGACTGTAACATAATGAAAGGCATTAGAATATGAGTGAGGGTTTTTGTTTAAATTATATATCATAAAAACATCTCACTAGTGTTTTAATGCCTAATTACGTACAGTTACATACACTGCTTTATCTACACACATATTATAAGCTCTCTGTGATGTGTTCAGGAACCGAATGTTACGACTGGCGAAATGGCGGCAAATAAAAATTTTTCTCACGCCTGTCACACAACCGTAGTTTTTATTTTTAATTCATAGACAAACTAGACTCGGCCCCAACTATCATATCGTTCGATATCAAGCAACGTGTGAAATTGTCAAAATTGTTTGCTATTGACATTTCCTTTCGAATAAAACTTCATCTCGACTGATATTAGAATTGAGGTCCAATCAAATAGTTTTGTTTTTCAGAGATGTTCGATATTTGAATGTAATAGAATAATAACATCGAATTCGATGTTATTATGAAGCAATAATAACATTTTCACAGCTAAGAAATTTGTTCTAACAAAACAGTTTACCTTTATGCTGGTCGTAATTTTGCGGCTTTTGAACACATTATAGAGAGTTTATGATATATGTGTAGATAAACATATTTTTAATTAACTAGACTCTTATTGGAGACTAGTGTTATGGAGAGAAATTAATACATTCACAAAATAATAATATTCGACAATCTTTATGTACTTTTTTCAGGCCTTCAGATGTTCAAAGACGTGAAAAACTACAGGGTGATCTGCTGCGGTGGAGACGGCACCGTCGGATGGGTGCTTGAGACCATGGGTAAGAAGTCCATTTGGGTATATCACGGTTTTTTTTTTACTTTTTTATTATGGTAGTAAGTGACGACACGAACAAGTCGTGCACCTGGTGGTAAGCGACACGCCTATCTATAACAGTTGCAGTGTCACTCAAAGCTTTAGTCGTAAAGATCAGAGGAAACTGCCACTGCATCCGTCGCTTTGGGAAAGTTAACAAGTTCCAGGTGCTTGTAGTTTCACCAAGTTACTGAATAGCGGCAGTAGGTAGGTGTACGGTCTGGCTGTACGATTCGATCAAGAGGAGTTGTCTGTTCGCGTCTGAGGTTTAGTAGGACTGCCCTCGTCGTCCTTTGTCAAAGAAAAGAAGGTCAGTCGTCGTCTCTTGTCCAAAAGAAAGTCGGTCTAATTTCGAATTCCTGCTCGTCTAGTAAGTCTGTCTTTGTGGCCTGTCAGGTCTGGTCATTTATGGAGGCTGGACGCGACAGTAGGTATAGGTGGAGATGTAGTGCTTCGGGAATGTTTGCCGAGCCTTAGCTTCAAAGGTGTGCATCTGCGCTGGGACGCCACCGCGTGTATTCCAACAGCACCCTGTGTGTGTTCACAGATTGGTGGGACTCCCGGCACCTCCGTAGATGATTTGAGCTCTATACCGTCTTATAATTGTACAGCTGTATTGTCCCTGTAAATTAATAATATACTAATACTAGATAATTTTGTTTATTGACATTATGTGGATTTTCATCTGAAATACACATTTTTGAATTTAAATTTGAACAGGCTTTATTCTACGTTCGCTTACTAAAGTTACTATTTTAGTTTATTTACCAACTTAGCTTTTAATTTCAGACAAAGTGTTGATGGAGTCCCAACCAGCTGTTGGAGTGATTCCTTTAGGAACGGGCAACGATCTGGCTAGATGTCTGCGATGGGGCGGCGGGTAAGTTATCTATTTCGAAAACGTAAAAAAAAATA